TCTCTCCTTCCACAGTAAAGCACTTATACACTCATCACTGTACGAACCGTTCTGAATTAAACAGTTCGGAATTAAAATATTCTCCTTTGAGTTTACATGGAAATAATAATTCTGAATTGAGGTTTACATGGAAAACACGTTAAATCGGCTTTATTTAATTAAGCTCAAGGTCTGGGGGTGGAGAAGGTTCTGACGGGACACGAACGTATTTACATCGACCGAGATGACAAAAGCCGGTAGCAGCTGAAGTGTGTGTTTTCTTCCGGTTTGTCATTACGCCACGGACACAAACATGATCCAATCTTTTTTCGCTGTTGTTTTGATGAGCAGCTGGAGAATTCTCTCATCACGCTTTACGTCTCTCAGCTGAGGAGGAGAAGGGAAGAGTGTCGGAGAAGGGAAGAAGAAGACAAACTGAGTCAACGGCTGCTCTACCTCAGCCCACTCCCGCATCCCACTCACAAATCCAAAGAGACGTGGATGAAAGTCCGAAGCCAGTACTGGTGGAGCTGGATCGTCTGGATCGCGTTAGAAGAGCAACACAACGAGCATGCGCTGAACGACCAGAATGATTTTTAAAAAGAATAAACGTTTACATGACCAAGGAATAAATTAATTTGGCTTTAAAATCAGAATAAACCACCTACTTACTTCAGAATTAAGTTTAATTCTGAATAATCATTTTCATTATGACTTAAGTGTTTACATGGTCTTTTTAAAGCAGAATTAAATTTTTATTCAGCATGACATGATTTTTTATGCGGAGTTAAACTGTCATGTGAAAGTGGCAACAGTGAAGAATTCATAAAGGAAAGAGAGGAATCAGGAAGACGGTAAAAATCAGGTACAGTGCTTTTAACTGTGGGTTGTCTGTGTTTTGATATAGACACTTGATAAGAGACTTGTCTGAAAACATCTGGATCTTACTGGATGGGAATTAGTTAAATATTTCACAATAAAGGAAAGAGCAACGTGCGTTTTGTGCCACTAGTGGAGAAAAACCTGGATACTAAGAGGAAAATAACACCTCACACAAGCCAAGCTGAATCTGAACTGAATATCACAATAAATAGCTACAGTGTGAAGCAAGGATTCAACAGTGCTGTACTACGAGCATGTGTCTGTGTGTAAATACGAGCGTGTGTGTGTGTGTGTACGTGTGTGTAAATAGAATATTCGAGTGTGAGAATGACTGTTGTCACATTGATCCGTGTGCATGGTCAGCTGAACGCGCGCCGCCTCACAGAGACTCTTCCAGGGGCATTGATTGTGCGGCCGACAGCGCTGGGCTGGAAAAGCTGAAACATGAACTTTTCTCTCTTTAACCTCTCACACGCGCTCACGAATAATGCCACACACCACATTCATGAAATCAATAGCACTGTTTACTGTAGCCGACACGCGCGCCTTCACTCACTGTGTTTAGTGGATATACGCGCTCTGAATGGATCTACAGTGGAAATGAACAGGAGGTATTTATTTAGAAAGACAATAGAGTTTGACTTATTTGTAAACGAGTAAATCTACACATCTCATCAAACATTTACTGTTTTATGAGCACTGTTTTACATTTTAATTTAGATCTTTTGATGGAGAAACGAGTGTGAAGTACCATATGGAACAATAACTATGTTAGGTCTGTGCATATACTCAGAAAAAATGGGTAAGAGCTCTGACTTCAAACCAGCAAACACCTGAAAGAAAACATACTACAGATTTTTCTTTAGTTACAATTAGGGATGGGCATTCGATGAAATTTTCTTAATTGATCGTCGGAAGAATTAACGATCGATTATCGATTAATCATTAACGTTTTTATATTAAAATGATCATCATTATTATTACTATCTGCACTTCTAATCTGCAGAAATAAATTCAACTTTACGACATATAAACAGTAACGACTCTAGAGCCACATCAATCCGTTTGACATTATAATGTGTTTAATTCAGTTTTGTGCAACTCTCACAGAAACGAAACTTAAAACTGCATCACTAATTTGCATAAACTAAGCGAAGATAAAACTACAGCTCTTGTGTCGCTGATGCGGTCAACTTCTGTTGGATTAAAAGACATGACTCAGTGGAATACAGGTTATTGTGATCATATTTGCGTTTGTTAAAACCAGGACACTGTACGGGGGGAGGGAGGTGGGGACTCGTCATCGACATTGCGCGACTCTCACCTGGCAAAGCTTTTTCCCACTGGACACCGAAAACATATGTTCCTGCTTTATACACTGTGCACATGGACTCACACTTGTCCCGAACGCAACGGAAAGTGTGGAATTTCTTGTACAAGTCAGCGTTAAATACGCATTTGTGCTTCGGTACATTGCAGGCTGACCGACTGTTTGTGTCTCGCTCCTTCTGAGTGCAGAGAGCTACATGTACAGACCCCTGTTTGGTCACGCTACGCACAGCAACCTACATTCGGTTTGTCAACTAAAATGAACAAAATCAATGAAATTCTTAATGATCAATTATTGATTAATCGTCTAATCATGCCCATCCCTAGTTACAATTAAAGATGCAGATTGTAGTGCTGCAAAATGACCGAATAAACTACTACTACCTTTAAAGAAAAGATGTAACAATAATCAAAATATCGTGATTCCATATCGTCGAAAGTCTCACAATAATATCGTCGGCTGTCACAATATATCGAATCACAAGTTCCTTTGCTTAAATGCATGGTTTTATAGTAGCAACAGTTTATAAACATCGGGAACTACATATCCCATGATTCATTTCAGTGCAGACAACATGAAGAAATATGTTTTTTTATGTGGTTCTGCAAAGGTTAATAAAGTGAAGAAATGTAATGAGGTAGTAACATTTTTAAACGTTTTAATACATTCAAACTTGTGTTATTCCGGTGAAAGTGTCAGAACAGATCTTAGTGTCAAACTGAGAGCGCTGTGTGCTGTCTGCATCTAATAAACTGCTTTTATAGTCCAAGAACCAGGAAGTAATACTGGTGAAGTGTTAGCATTAGGGATGTAAAAATAACCAAAATATTGTGATATCATATGGTCAAAAGTCTCACAATAATATCGTGGGACCTCACAATATGTCGAATTACAAGTTCCTTTCCTTAAATGCATTGTTTTATAAAAGCAACAGCTTATAAACATATGGAACTACATATCCCATGATTCATTTCAGTGCAAACAACATGAAGAAATATGTTTTTTACTTGAATTCTTCGGATTATGATAGAAATAATTCACAAGAAAATCTTGTCAAGGTATTTTAAAAGCAAAAAAAGTGTCCTATCTGCTATTATATCAGCCTCTCCAAAATATCACAATAAATACTGTACAGTGAGATGCATATCGTGTTAATATCGTACCGAGAGATTTGGATATCGTTACATCCCTAGTTATAATCTTTTCATCCAGTTGAAAACAGCTACACTGATTCCTGCCTTCATCTTTATGATGCGTCACTGTAAACATCATCACAACACAGTGCTGCTCCGTCGGATCTTCCTGCCGGCTCCTCGGACGGCTACAGTTCACAGTTACAAGCAGCAGATTATTTTCTCGCTTGTACCAAAATAGCCATACGACACTAACAAATCCTACATGATTCACCATCAAACTTCAAGTGGGTAGATGTTCAGGGAAAACAATTATAACACAGAACAAACTAAATGTATTTCACGATCACTTAATTATTGATATAAGAGATAATTTCTCATTTCCGTATAAATGATAAAATTTGGTTCTTAAAATAACATTTGTAAAGTTATGCATTTGATGAAACAAATAAAACAGTGTGTGCTATATGGCAGTGGTAAGAGGTTATGTCAGGCATGTCCAAACTATGGCCCGGGGGCAAAATGCGGCCGTCAGACAAATTTTTCTTGGCCCTCAGGCTTCCAAGTGAATTGGCCTAAATTACCTTGCATCAACTAAAAAATATTTTTTAGCATGAATAAAGTCTGACGGCTCACTCTAATGTGTTAAACATGCAAATATTTCAATTATTCACTGTACTGAGCAGAAGTCTGCGAACCTCGATCGGCCCTCTGCGTCATCTGTGTTTAGATACATGGCCCTTGATGAAAAAAGTTTGGACACCCCTGGGTTATGTACATATATGCACCAGGAAAACGGGCTATTGCTGTGGTCATAACTATGAGGATCCAGACAAAAAAGAATAAATTAATGATAATGAATACAACTACTTATCACTAAATACAGGAAAAATAATATATCGACTTGCTGGTAAGTTAGTTGAGCCGTGTTTGTGCAAATTTTAGGGACTTGAAACAGACTTGAATGTGTGTAGGGGTGTGCAAAAATACTGAAATATTGATATCATTTTATGTGCTGATACAGAAACCCGCAATATCGATACTGTATCGCTATATTGCCAAGAGTATGTTGGCAACGTCTCGGCGCTAGGCTCCCGTCAGGCAAACAGGGGGCCTAGTGCAGAGACCTTGCGCGGTTTGTCCTAGTGAATCTCACAGTTTGCAAGTGGGACGGTGTGCGGGATTTTTCTTGATGTTCTTGGGCTACTCCCTCTTCTCCAACGCACCCATCTCAAGTAATTGATGTGCGAAGTTCTCATTCTTTTATATTTGGTATATTTTACTCAGTTATTTTGTTACAGCGCTACAGTTTTGTTGCTTGTTCAGAGGAAGGAAACCTTTTGATGAAACACATTTGACATTTTAACTGTTTTGATGAGTATAATGTTTGTGTTTCATATGAACTTTGCACAATAATTGGTTTAACAAAGACTTCTAGTATCACAGCCATGATTTAGCCTTTATTTTTTATTAAACTGTATTGAATCGATTTGAAATATGAATTGTATCGAATCGTAAGCTCACTGTATCGAGTTATGTACTGTGTCATGGCTTATGTATCGAGGTATGTATCATATCGAAAACTTCTTAATGCTATCCAGCCCTAAATGTGTGCGTTACATGACAACAGCTCCACTGTCCCATAACCTCTCGTGTGTGTAGGTGGAGGGTGGTACCTTCGTGCACAGTGACTCCACAGTTGTCACACTGGATGATCTCGTCGGCGTCTTCGCTGTTGTCTCCCAAACACACGCAGCAGATGAGGATGTGCTGCGTGCTCCAGGCCTGGGAGCGCTCCAGCAGGCCGTCCTGGATCAACACACACACAAGTTTATATCGATGCCCCTTCCTCGGCGTCCGTCTGTGCCCACGCCCGGCTGGCACGCTCTTAATCCACCACACAATGATACAAAGGCACGGGCATTAACCTGGACTCGCTCCGATACCATCTAAAGCTCTTTGGTGTCTTACTTTGTAAAGTAGCCAGCCGCCAGTACAATACCGCATTCATCTGCAGCGGCTTCAGTGAAAAGATCTCCCATAATCGCTTTGGCAATACATCAGTAGAGTTCCAAAGTACTCGAAGAACTATTTAAGACCCTCAAGACACTCACTTTGTGCCACTACTACTGCTTAATGTCCAGTTATAGTCTGATTTCTCCAGAGAACTAGAACTGCTCTTGGTTTACATGCAGGTAAATAAACCAAACTACTGAGAATGAACCAAGATGCATTCAGAGGCATCTAGTAATTTAGCATCAACTCTCACCCTACTAGCATTTATACACAATCACAGTTTTGCTCTCTCTCAGTGACTATAAATTTAATACATCAAAGCTTGAGCTATAGTAGTTTTATTCTGACCATTAGCAGACAATGCATAAACAATTAATTCTTAGCTGTATCGATATATCACCAACAGTATTTTTTTGGTATCATTTACTAAATTATTTTGCTACAGCACTACAGTTTTGTTGCTTGTTTAGAGGAAGGAAACTCGTTTATGCGACACATTTGACATTTTCATTGTTTTGATGAGTAAAATGGGTGTGTTTCATTTTAAGAAAGACTTTTAGTATCACAGCCATTATTTAGACCTTATTTTTTTCTTGAACTGTATCAAACTGTTTTGAAATATATCATATCGAATCAAAAATTCACTGTATGGAGATATGTATCGTATCGTGGCCTACGTATCGAGGTATGTATCATAACGTCAAATCCTTAATTGATACCCAGGCCAGTTTTTGATGAGAATTTCTGTTAAGGTTGCCAAAAGTATTGACAATCAGATACTAATCAATACTAAAACTAACATCAAAATAGATAATACGGCAAAAAAATAAAAAATAAATCACACTAACAGTACAATATTTTTTTTCCAGAGCAGTACGATTTTGAGCTCAGAACAAATACAAGGCCTCATGCTAAGATAAAAAAAAGAACTATTATTTTATATTTTAAAATGACATTCTATTAGTAGCTAGCGTCTGTGAGATTCATTTGACTGGAGCTGAACTCTATGGGTGGCATCACACTCCCTTATGCCGGACAGACACTGTGCAATATTTTTGACCGTTTCACTCAGTCTCAGCTCAAACTGTACAACCAAATCACAGGGTTTAAAAGTTCACAGCTCATGATTCATGTTCTCACATTGTATGAACAACTTCAACAGTGTGAAAACCTCACGAGAGGCGACCGCGACCGGATTTCAAACATGTCTGATATTTTTGCGACCTACAATTGTCGATCAGGAGCTGGTCGTGAGGTATTAATTGGTTCTCGTTACCCCATGTTTACTACACAAAACACGACACATGATTAAGCCAAAACTCTGCCGCACGAGTGAAAAATCGTCTCAAAAAGGGTCAAAAATCGCACAGTGTACACCCAGCTTTAGTCCACTTCTTTATATGTTCTATGATTGCGACTCACCTCATTGCCTTTGCCCTGAGACATGCTGTCGTTGGTCAGCTCTTCGTCCAGGGAGGTGGCGCTCTTGTTGCTTTTGTTCTTCTTCTTGAGTTTCTTGTCGCCCTTCTCGCTGTCACTGCTGCTGTTGTTCTCGTCCCCGTCCTCTTTGTCCTCGTCATCTTCGTCGTCATCGTCGTCTTCGTCGTCGTCGTCGTCCTCGTTATCGTCGTCGTGATCGTCGTCATCGTCATCGTCGTCGCTGGCCCCGCCCCCCTCCTCCTCAGCGCCTCCCCCTTTCTGCGCGGCGGCCTTGCCCTTCTTCTTACCGGCGGTGGGTCTCCAGTCGTTGTCGTCCTCGCTGTCGTAGTCGTCCATCTCGTTCAGCTCCTCCATGGTGGTGAAGTCCAGCAGGGGGCGGTTTCGACGAAAGTTCCACTTCTTGGGTTCAGACTGTGGTGAATGAAAGTGGAGAAGGATCAGGATTGAGACAGGCTCAGTTTTACAATAAAATTAAATTGAATAAAATGCTTCATGAATAAAAGTTTACATTTAGGGTATTATTCTATAGTACATGTATAAATTCAACATCCAAGAAGACATTTAACGCTTAACCTACACATTTCATTTTGACAGGACTGGAGAGTGTGAAATGGGGGTGAAGAACGGGGATGACATTCGCAAATTATCAACACCAGGGATTGATCTCACAGCTCAGAGGCCGCAGTAGAGTCTGACATAAGCCCATATGTTCTGCAGCCAAGATTACTCAACTACTGGGCAGCACAAGAGCATTTAAACTTTAAAATGGACATCAAAATCAGGGGCGTAAGCTCTAGTTTATTATAAATGTTTTTCTAAAATCCCATAAAATCTCACAAAGCTTTATTATCAACCTTTATTTAACCAGTAAAGTCTAGATTAAGAATCTCTTTTTGGGGCAGGGGAAACCGCAGCACCTGGTGGAAACCTGCACAGGCACAGAGAGAACATGCAAACTCCACACAGGACCTTCTTGCTGTGAGGCGAGAGCACTACCCTCTGAGCCACTGTGCCGCCCATACATACAGACAGTACATAGGGATTAACCATTTTCATTTTTAATTATGTGTTAATTATTAACCAAATGAATTCTAGTTCCAATTTGAAAATGGAAGATAAAGGTTCTACACGGTTTTCAAACATTTTATTAGAGGCAACTGGGTCATCCTTTCTAAATGTCGTGAATGTGCATCAAATAAAAATGTGAAAAAAACATCACGTTAACAGGACAATATTACACAAAGTAGGGCCTCATTTTGCTAGATTTATGTTACAACTGTGATAAGAAATTCAGACTGCTCTACCTGGGACTCATCAGTTGCGTTGCCAGATCCAGACCCAGATCCAGATCCAGACCCAGACCCTGATCCAGACCCAGAGATGGGCTCAGTGCTGGGGGCTGGTGCTGGTGCCGCTGGTGGCTCTGGCTCTGGGGTGTTCTTGTTTTTGCGGCGGCTCTTCGGAGGGGTGGCTGCAGCGGTGCCCTCTTTGGCGGGGCTGTCTGAAGACGCCTTTGAGGTCTCGGAGGACTGCTTCGCCTTGTCTTCGTCCTCAGACAGGTTCTCCTCTGCTGCCAGCTCCTTGGCCTCCTCCTCGTCGATGCCGTCGTCTGCAGAGGCCATGTTCTCGGAGTCGCTGTCTGAGCCGCCTGCGCTGCCTTTGGAGCCCTCCTCGTCACTGCCGTTACCCGTTCCATCGGACCCTTGTGAAAGAAAAAGTGACAGCAACCCATTTAAATATAACCATTTTCAAAAAAGGATTTCACTGTTCAGTTAAAGTGAAGCTTGGCAAAAACGTTTATGTAACAGATTATTCATTCCTCATTATATCATCTTTGCAGTGTTTTTCCTTATGACCTCTGATATAAAACTGTGATATATTTTATGTTTATAATTTTTCTATGTGTTATTATATTATATTGTGATGTGTGAGCCACTGTGTCCAAGTAATTTCCCTTGTGGAGCAATAAAGTTTGTCTAAGTCTAAATGCCTGCCTCCTTCTTAGATTCAGTTGAGCTAATGTAAAGAAACAATTATTACACAAAACAAATAGAAGCTAAACAAGAGTCAGTGCAATATTACCTCTGTGACACTGCAGAAAATCAGTAAGTATTTTGATTTTAAATTGATTGAAACTACTTGCATTTAACGAATACCATAAAAACTCACCTGAGGCATCTCCTACTTCAAAATCACTGTCGTCTGAGCTGTCATAATCCAGGACATCCAAGAGCGATGCAGCCAGCGGCTTCACCTGCCGCCTCTTCAGACTGCGGTCCACTGATGACAGAAAACACACAGGGTTATGAAGGCGAGTTACACACAATAAAAAGTTACAATAACTACAGATTGTTTTTTAATGCATGCAATGTGAGGATGATAAAATTAGGTTATTCTTATCCTACGAAATGATACTGGTTTAGTGCAGGACATCAACTTTTTGGTTTCAAATTTTCACTCTGAACATGTCTGCAACAGTGACATGTAAACTGATAGATTGAACTGGACTAAGTTTATAATGGAGGTTTTCTTAAGACCAACAGCACGTTTCTATGAACTGGTAACAGGTATCAATTGAAAAGTAATGCACCTGAATCTTATAAAGTTTTGTACAACTCACAGTCAAATATGAGTGGTGTTACAGGATGAAATCAGAGTAAAGATCTCAGTCTTCTGTTTATGTGACTTGTTTTATTATGAGCGCGTTGAGTAAATGAAGCTCCTGGTGCTTCTGTGTCCACAGAACACGTGTGACCCACAGCGCTTATGTGACGGGTTTTAGGGCTGGTATCTCACTCGTCACGATTATTGATCTCGGAACCAAAGGAGTTTAACGCGTTAAATGTGTCATATAAAAAGAACCTCACCTGAGCTAACCGTGCGGCTAACGCTAACACTTTCATTCATAACAGTTCTCGTCAATTCTACTAAATAACTCCACATATGAACCTTGCTCTTGGTAGTTAAGTTCGCGCACAACACCAGGAGATGTTCACTGTGTGGTTCAGGTTCAGAGCAGAAGAGAAACAACAGGACACTTTGTAGTTTGTGCTACCGACCTCACACTGTTAGCTAGCTTAGCTCGTTAGCCGCTAACAGCGGCAACTCAAAGCTACAAACTGATTTTCCGTGATTTCAAAGCACGTGCAGCTGAAGTACAGTTTTTCTTACTGACTCGGGGTAAAGCATGTTTAAAACACTCACTTTTGAGCTCCTGTTCACTAGCACGAGCAGAGATGGTCCAGTTGTGTTAGCAGCATGTTCCGTGGACAATGAAAAACACAGAAGTGACGCACTGACGTACGGATGGTGTTGCCATGGGGACGCAGACGGGCTGGAGACCTGGAGCACGGATAAAAACATATAATATAATATAATATAATATAATATAATATAATAATAATATAATATAATATAATATAATATAATATAATATAATATAATAATACAAAAAAACAACATGTCATCTAACATAATAAAAACATCTATAATAAAAACATATAATCTAATCCGACGTAATAAAATAAAATATGTTTTAGTTCTATGATTGGAGTGAAGCAGTCTATGGAGTGAAGGCAAAATTATCATCAAGTTTACATCATATAACAAGAAATAAAAAGCAATTATCACCACAACAGCAGCAGGTTAAATGATCTATAAATGTTATAAACTTATATATTGTTGGATGAAAATCACCATTAGGCCACTCAGGCTTATTTTTAATTAGGTTATTAAAGAAGAAACGAAAATTTATAACAATGCTTAAAAATACTTCAAGCAGCATTGTAACTTTCTGGAGGTGGCACATCACCTGCATAATTACATGGAAAAATAAAGCTGAAAACCAAACTTTAGAACATTCCCCATGTAGATCTTTATGTCACAAATCAATGTACAGTAAGAAACATCATTTCATAAAGGACACATGTTTTTGTTTGTTTGTTTTGTTTTCCAGCACAATAAAGACATCCAGCCTGAGCTATTTAGTTACATGATGAGGCTTTAATTGTTATTTTTTTCATTATATGGTCTGATTCTAAGGCTGCAGTGTAGAAACCAATGGCGAAAAGCTTGTTCTTCAATAAACAGGATTGATGGTCTGTGAATGACAGATATCCTCCTCCCAGAGCTCGTACTCAGGAGGCCAAATGATCACTCACATCGGTGTATTTTTAAACGTTCACAAAGAAACTGAACAAAAAAGGTTTTCAGCTCCATTCATCACGAGTCGACATCAGGACAAAGAAGTTTTACAGACTGAGAAAGAGACTGTCTGCTGCAACTGGTTTTATCTTACAATGTGGTTTAATCAGTTATCACAGGTTAATTAATCCGATTAGTATGACTTGCATGCACAGTCATTTGTATAATTGTGGTAATAGTACGCAGTCAATCCCTAAAAATATAATTAGGCTCAAAAACATAGTTGTGTTTTGTTTCATTCACACATGTTTGAGTAATCCTGCGTCATTAGTCTGTCTACATCTCCAAAGGTCAAAATCTTGTGATGTAATGAAGCGGTAGTTTTCAAGTTAACAGCAAAATTTTCCCTTTGGTTCAGTAAAAAAATAGGAAATTCCAGTCCTAAAATCATCCAAATGATTCTCGTGAGGGTATATGGAGTTTAAAAACACAATGGAGAACTTTCGGGAGAAAATAACTCAACCCAAAGATGCAGTGTTTGTGTGTTAAACTAAACACAACCATAGGTATATTTGTGAGGAAACAACATTATAACATAGATCAGAAAATAGCGAAATATGGGCCCTTCAACCTGCAGATATACTCTGTTAGGATATAAACATATACCTAACTCAAGTTTTTTAAGTCTTTTAACTTTTAACCGTAAGTCCCTTGACTTGTATATTTACTTGTATATTTAAGGCCCCCTCCCTCCTCCCTATCAAAATCATCTGAAGTTATGAGCAGTGATGGGAAGAATACTTTGAAAATGTACTTAATTACAGAATACACAATTGTGGGCAACAGTAGCTCAGTTGATAGAGCGTTTGTCCACTTATCCAAAAGTTGGTGGTTTGACATCTTTTGTTGAACGATCAGATCTACTGACCCACAGGTTGGCGGTGTGATTTCAGGCCTCAGATGAATGTTGCTGTTGTGTCCTTCGGCAAAACACTTAATACACCTCGCCCCCCAGTATCTGTGTACACTGGTGTATGAATGTGTGTGTGAATGGGTGAGTGGTTCCTTGTTGTAAAGCGCTTTGAGTGACTTGAATGTGGAAAAGCGGTGTATAAAAATGTGACCTTTTAAAATGCACTTTGCAATATTTTCTGATACATGGTCCAATCAGAGTACTGTATTGTAAATACTTAAAATTCTTTAAAGGGACAGTCCAGAATTTTGGACATAGGACCTCATTTCCTAGTGAGCCAGAGTGTTTGGAGACACTTTTGAAATATTCCATCCAGTCCTTGTATTTGCAGAGGTCGCTGGTGCTAGACTAGTGCATGTCAATGGCCATAGTTAGTAAAACCAACCTTGCATTTGAAGGATTTAAGTCTGAGCAGCAGCAGCGAGTTGTTTTTCCTGATAGAAAGTCTGGCAGCGGCAGACTGATATCACCTAACACCTATCTTAGCGGCAAAGTAACATTCCGCTGCTGCTGAGAAAATAGTCCCTCAACATGCGACAATTCATGTGATGCAAGGTTAGTTTTATTTCAAACATTATTCTATCAACACAGACATTCACATGGACAGTCTGGTGTAATAACAGATTTGCTTCGGGTGTTTTGTGGAATGGGTAAGACTGTTTTTAGTGTCAGGATAACTATGACCATTGACATGCACTAGTCTAGCACCATTGACCTCTGCAAATACAAGGACTGGATGGAATATTTAAAAAATTGTCTCCACACGTCTCCAACACTCTGACTCACTAGGAAATGAGGTCCAAAATCTCGTTATATTGTAGTGTAAAAACATGACATATAATTACAATCAACTTCATTTTTGTTATTATGAATTAATTTATGTCTAATTAGAGACATTTTCTCTTTTTTTTCTCACTAATACCATGCAGTTCAAAGCCAAAATTGCACAATGAAGTAAGCAGAGCCATGTATTTCTTTTAATTTAGGAAAGCAGCTATATTCTGAATACCAATAAATGAAAAGTAACTGTACCAGAATACAGATACTCAAAATTTGTATTAAAAATATGTATTCTAGGTCATGAGGTGGTAATCTCTTTGTACATACTAGTATTTTCTGATTAAAATACTTGTACTTATCCACACTCCAAATCCACCTGCCTTTAGTTGAGAGCTGTCCCCTCATGACTTCAGTAGTTAAGCAAACAAGCCTTGATTAAAACAAATGAGAGTGGATTGGAAGACTGATGTGGCGGACACGCAGGGGGGAAGATTACAACCGTCCCTGCCTGTTTGACAAATGGCCCGGCTTGTATTGCGCCACATAGAGGTCCTTTTTATCAGCGCGCATCAAAACAGTGAGGTGTGATATCGCAGACGCCATCACTGTCATCACCGATATCGCGGCTTTGATCGTGTTCTCCTGGCCACAACATGGAGTCTGAGGCGTGACCGGATGGCAGGGCAGGAAATGGGGAAAGTATAGGCTCTGGAATGGTCGTTTTGCGATAATAGCGCAAAGTATGAAAGAATGACAAGTTTGCCGGCGTGTTTTGATGGTGATGATGATGAGGTGGGTGAAGCTGCTACAGCACAAAGGCACAAAATAGTAGCGCGTCTGGAAAAGTGTTATATAAGACTGTAATGTGTTATTGTTTTTACCGCAGTTTGAGAACTACTCCACATTGTGACGCTTGACTCTGTACATCACAAGAGCAACCAATAAAAACTGTCATTATTCATTCACTCCAAACGCGGTAGGGGGAAGCTGCTTCTGGAATCACAGCCGCCCTGGGGCAGACTGACAGGAGAGAGGCTGCCAATCTGTGTCGCTAACCCTTCCGTCCACCAAGACTCACTCACGCAAACATCACATTCACGAGGCAATGTGGGTTAAGTGTCTTGCCTAAGGACACAGCTCAGACCTGCTAAGCTTCAGAGATCAGACAAGATCAGGCCTTGACAACAAATGCACCTTTAATTTAGAGATTATTTCACCCACTTTTGTGTCCTCCTTTGGTTTAGTCCTTGGTTAGAACAAGTTTTATTTTAGACCCTTTAAACCTCTTGACCTGGACAAGTCCTGGTAGACCTGGTTTACATTTGGTGATGGTGAAAAAGTGAAAGTCTAAGTCGGTACTTGTGAAATGTTTGAAAAACAAAGTAATAAAATCACTTATTATGCATTTTTATGTTTTTCTTTTTTATCACAGAAGTCCTGAAAGAATATGCAAATTTTGGCATTTTCTCACAGCGAAAAATAAAAAGGAATGACTAAAGTAGAGACAAAAACAATTCAATACCTTTTTTTATTTTTCAACATAAAACACTGGAAACAGAAAAATATGATTTGAAACTTTATTTTCTTCACTGCCCCCTTAAAATATTAACACGGGAATGATATTTGAACTGACCACCTTCTGGTTATTGGGTGTCCACTATTGAATTGGTCTACAGTTGTACAGTGTGCAGTACTGCTTTATTATTTCACAATATCACAATATCACAGAAACATCCATGAAGGACATATAAAACTTTTTTTTTCTCTTTTTTTTAAACTATGTGATTTTAAACTATGTTAAAATGGCAGAAAAATCTTAATTTTAATTCATTCAAACTTCTATCATTAATCTGACCTATAAAAGGGGCACTGACGTCAGACGGCGTTCAGGTGACAGACATGGCTGCAAAACGAGGTTCATATGGGAAACGACACACTCAGCCCCCGTTTAACTAGGTGTCATGCCCTGGCGGGTATGTAGGAGTGTTGCGGGCATCGTATTGGGTGAATGATCGGCCGCCTGTCTGTTCATCTTCGCTGGGGCTAATATGAGTGTTGTTTTCAGTGAACTCGGCGTAGGATTCTGGCTTGTGTGCGTGATGAGGGCCGTGTGATGGTAGAACTGTGAAACGCCAGGTTGTGTGCAACACTCAGTATGTGTCTGTAATCCTGTGGTGTCTGTGGGTTAGTGGATCATGCCACAGTCTAACCAAATTATGCTGTACTTCTAGGGCTCTGGCAGTGACAAGCCTCCCCTTAAAACCCCGGTCCTTGGGCCTGGTCCACCATGAGGATTTTTGTTTGTGTAAAGGCCATTTGTGTCCAGGTCATAATGTCCAGGGCACCAATCATTAAAATAACTGTGATCTCCTGTATTGCATTTTTAACGTGGATGAACTAGCAGTGAACAATGAAT